AAACGTTTCGCTGGAGGGTTGCGGCAATTATACAGAAACCTCAAACAAAAGGACACGACGCAACATAATCTTAACCATGATGAAAAATTTTTAAATATCCCATCTTCTTCAACTTTACAGGTAGCCTCGTATGTTTTCCTCTCCTCAAGGTGTACTTTCTCATCACCAACAGATTTCTCATTGTCAGACCAAAATTCAGGATTATTCTGTCTTAACCACTCTGGTCCTTGGAACCAATCTCACAATTAATTAATTCAGAGGAAAGTAGTCCTCTTGTTGCACAGTCCTCAGGACCTCCACCAACGTGTTTCCACTTCACGGTAGGAATAGCATTGTGTATTTTCTCGACTCTATTGGTAACAAATGGTATCCAAATGATAAGATTCAGACAAAATCCATGCTAATACAACTGTGGAATCTGACCATGCAAATATGTCATGTAAGGGAACATCGAGATATTTCAATACAGTTTGCAATAAATTAGCCAATAGGACAGCAGCACAAAGTTCCAGCCTGGGAAGAGATTGTATCTTGAGAGGAGCAACCTTGGTTTTGAATGTTAGTAGAGTGACCTTTATGTCACAATTATTTGACATTGTTCTTGCATAGACTACAGCACAGTAAGCCTTCTACGAGGCATCGCAGAATGCATGGATATCAAAGATGATTTGGAAGTGAAACAAATCTCGTAATCTTTAAGATCCTAAGAAGGGTTAACTCATTTCGAAATAACTTTCACTTATGTTCCACTTTAGCAGAGATGGGTTCATCCCATGAAAGTTGACACTTCCACAACTCTTGAATCAGAACCGTTGCATATATAATACATGGAGCAAGCCAGCCCAAGGGGTCAAAAATTTTTGCTAAATCCAGAAGGACTTCTCTTTTGGTATAGCCTGCTTTCTCATTTGAGTACGGAATAGAAAATCTAAAACAATCCTCCTGAGGAATCCAATTGATTGCTAAGATCTTGATTCCATTATCCTCTTGAAGTTTACTGACTCAGAAGAGTCTCTTAATTCATTAGGTATCTTCTCTAGTACTGAAGGGTCATTTGAAATCCATTTGCATAACACAAATCCTCCTTTAGTCATCAGGTCTGTTAATTGGTTGACTAGTGTCTTACACTCCTGTGCTTTGTGCACCTGATAACAAGAATCATTCAACATCCACCATATACACCAGATTTGACATTGTGTTACTTTGGCTATTTTTTAGTTTCAAAAAATATTTGAGGAGTTGCATATTTAACACAGAGGATGAAATTGAAGCTTCCTTAACAGAGTATTTTGATAGCATTCCAGAAAATGAATGGCGTCCTGCTTTTGATCTTTGGAAGGAGCAACTACATAAGTACATTTTGGCCAGAAAAGAGTACTTTGAACATAAATAAAAATTATTTTGTTTTAGGCCTTATAGTATTTCCGTATTGAAAAGCTTTCAGACTCACCCCGTATGTGTTATCATTTTTAAACATTTTTTTAAGTACAGTATAAAATAGTGTATTCACGGAAACTTGGATAATCAGTTCTACTGTATAATAAAGATGTGCTATATTCTATTAAGTTAAAACTATGTAAGTACTTATATTTTGAATCATTTTATTCTTAATTTATTTCTATTAATTGAAAATATAATTAAAATAAATACAGTTTTTGACGAGCAAGTGAAAATATAAACAAACCTTCTCTAGTTAATGTACCAAAGGTATGTTTACTAGCAAAGACCTTTCCTGTGCTTATGAGACAAATTTAGCTTCAGAATGTAGATGTGTGGCATCAGTGGTGTACCCAGGGGAGTGGTCCCTGGCACTCCAGAATAAAAGAAACACTAGTAAATTTTCCAAAAATATTTTTCTAATTAAAGTTTACTTATTTATATTGTATCGTGTGTTCTATTTGTATATTACTTATGAATTTGCTAACACGTAAGGTAGCAATTTTATTGAAATCACATTAAAAATTTTTTTATCCATTCAACTCGACTCATTCCAAGATTAAATCTTGAGTTCACAACTACTGTGCAAATTTACTTGTGTACCACATAAATATGAATAAAAAAACTTAAAATTATACAAATATAACATTATTATTTCTAATTCACATTTTATAAAGTGAACTAAAGCTCATTTTACTTTCCTTGATACACTTAATGAAAACACAAAAAGTGAAGCAACAGTATACACTTTCTTAATATTTAAAACTGAAATATTTTATTTACTACAAAGTATGAAATTTTGAGTGTTTCAATGGATAGAAAATTTCGGTATTTCCAAAGAAATAATACTGTAATAATAATTGACTTGCTGATGAAAATATGAGTTAACAATAGAAAAAAATATTTTAAAAATTATATAAATATTTTCAAGATATCTTCATTATATTTTCAATTAAACACTTGGGGAGAGAAAACAATTTTTAAAATATTAAACACAACAAAAGACAAATATTCATCACAGTAGACTCATTACAAAATAAATATAACACCGATACTTTTTGGTATTAGAATTTAATGAAAATATTAAATCAGTTTCTTCTCAATTTGAGAACTTCAAATTTAATAATCTTTTGCTTGCTTCAATTCAGCAATTAAATATGAGGATTAATGCTCAAAGCACTTCTAGAAAAACAATAAATACAAAGAAAATTATTCTTTCTTTTAACAATAATTTACACAGTTATTTTATAACTAAAACAACAATAAATGATTAAGTATACAAAATTATTAGTTTTTATAAAATTCATATAAAATTTCTACTTAATTGATGATAACAATTTAGTCTTAATACACTTATTTCCATTTGTTTAGAACAATATATCACAGTGAAAATTATTTCTTCATCTAGACTAGTTAATTTTAAATAATTTAAATCAATAAAAATTTGATTGTTGTATAAAAAAGATAAAGTTAGGTATTTCACTTGTTCAGTTTCATAATTGAGTTTTTGTCATTCTCCATTTCTCCTAAAATTATTTTTTTTGCTAGAGGAATATCATGCAGGAGATGATAATAGAACTGAGCTTGATCACTGATGCAAGGATGTTTATCGTTACTGCATTTTTCTAACAAAAATCCTAAAATCTCCTGCATCTCAGCAGGTCTGTGCAAAAACATTCTAATTGTTGTAGTCAGAAGAGTCATTTTGACAATAGCATCTTCCTCCTCTTCAACTGTTTCCATCATGGATTCCAAAATGTAAGGAGTGTGCATTGTTGTCTGTCCGTAGTAGCCTAATAATTGCAGTATGGCACATTTCCCTGAAGTTTCATTGATCTGTTTATAATACTTTGAAATAGCGGCCAATAAGAGAGATTTAATTTCTTCATCTTGATGTAAATTTAATAAAGAGAATGCATTCAATATTTCAACTGTAAGCGATTCACACTGTAAATCTATTAATGTGATAAGTGTCTTTAAATTTTGTAAATTTGTAGGAAACAAATTTGCAATTTGTACTATACTCTTTATAGCAGCTTTGTATATTCCAGGAGAGTTATTTGTACAATAAGTAATTAATTCTTCAGATATGTCAGATATGTTGGTTGAAGTTGTCAGAAGTGGTAAAATGCAGAGTTTTTTTACTTTCACAATCATAGAATCAGAAAAATGACAAAAAAACAATTTATAATTTGAGCAAAATAACTCTTTGCTATAAACAATATATTGTTCTACAAGAATTAGAGTTGAATAAACTAATTCATTATTAGATGATACCAAATTGGATTGGATTTTAGGAAACACACAATTCAAGGCTTCTTTCAATAAATGAGGAAAATTATTATTACATAACGAAAGAAATATTTGAAGTGTTTGTATGACAATAAGTGAATTAGTATGTGTTAAATAATCATCTAAAGAATTCAAAATTTCAAATAGTTCTTCTTCTTTTTGAGGGACATATTTTTGTACGAAGTGAAGTACTGTTGATATACCCCATTCATGAAATGATAAAATTCTAGAAAGTAGATAGTGAACAATATTGTAGTTAATAACTACTCCTCCTTCAGAACTAAGAATTTCATCCAGAGATGTTAGACAATTAACTACAACTCCAGGATCAGGATCACGGATCATTTCATACAGATTATGAATAAGTTCTGAATTAAAATTTTCTGAAGAATTTTTAATATACTGACAACAAGACATAACTGCTACTCTTCTCACATATGAGCTGGAATCTTTTAGTGCTGATAGCAATAGTATTTCTTCTTGCTCTGTTAAGTTTGGAACTCTGAATAATGTCTTTAAAGCAACACCTCTAAATAATGGATTTGCATCTTTCAAATCTTTGATTAGAGTATTTGTCACTAACAAATTTAAACCATCGACTCTATCTGAATACCTGAAAAAAAATTTAACAAGTTAACATCTAGCCATCAAATTTAAACTATTCAAAAGTTTCCAATTTGATTAAATTTTAGTATCACATGAAATATTTTTATAATTAATTAATTAAATCAATTTTTACTTAATTACCAAAAAAATAAGTAGTAATTAAGTAGTTATTTTTATTTTATTTTCACAATAGTAGTGTTGTTATAATGGATAAATAAATTTTTTCTTCTCAATACATTAGAAACATTTTAAATGAAAAAATTTTAGTTAAAATAAGCAAAATATAAATGAGAATACTCAGAGATATAAACGATGTTGCAAGGTATAATAAAAGTAATAATTATTTTCTTATCTTGGATTTATGAATGATTATTTCTACTCTAAGAGCTGTAAATTTATAATATGAAAGTAAAAATTGTCTAAATGTAATTCTTAATTTTACTTCATTAAATTACTTTTTTTCAAATTATAAAGTTATATCAATATTCTTGATTCAATTTCTTGGACAAAATACATTGAAAACTCTTTAGAAATATTGCAGAGGTAAACATAAATTAACTAAAAACAGAATGGCATATATATCTATAAGATGACATCCTAAATCTAGCCTGTATTAAACAGGAACAATATTAAGTTTTTGAACCTACAATTCCAATACATTGTAAGTTTTTAAAAATTCTTTTGCAGTTTTGCATAAAATATAATGATAAAGAATAAATGAATATAAAAAAATGAATTTGACAGTAGTAGTATACAAATTAAGATATAGTTGGAATAATAATAATAATAACTCTCCCATGGTCATCACCTGGTTGTGGTGGGATAGCCCAGTAATTTTACTGAACCATAGAGCAATGCAGGTTGGAGCACAAGCTCCTGGCAGGGACACACATGCCAGTAAAGTCTATGGGGAGAAATGAAGCTAAGAGTGACCACACCCACATTCTGTGAAAATAATTATTATGGTAGTAACCAGATCAAAGTGCGATACCGGCTTGGACGTTGCCCAGGTTAACAAGGTCCGCGTTCGTGGGTTAGGCAGAGGCTCACATTCAAAAAATAGGCTCCAGTCTCCCTTCAAATTATTTCTTCATCTAGACTAGTTAATTTTAAATAATTTAAATCAATAAAAATTTGATTGTTGTATAAAAAAGATAAAGTTAGGTATTTCACTTGTTCAGTTTCATAATTGAGTTTTTGTCATTCTCCATTTCTCCTAAAATTATTTTTTTTGCTAGAGGAATATCATGCAGGAGATGATAATAGAACTGAGCTTGATCACTGATGCAAGGATGTTTATCGTTACTGCATTTTTCTAACAAAAATCCTAAAATCTCCTGCATCTCAGCAGGTCTGTGCAAAAACATTCTAATTGTTGTAGTCAGAAGAGTCATTTTGACAATAGCATCTTCCTCCTCTTCAACTGTTTCCATCATGGATTCCAAAATGTAAGGAGTGTGCATTGTTGTCTGTCCGTAGTAGCCTAATAATTGCAGTATGGCACATTTCCCTGAAGTTTCATTGATCTGTTTATAATACTTTGAAATAGCGGCCAATAAGAGAGATTTAATTTCTTCATCTTGATGTAAATTTAATAAAGAGAATGCATTCAATATTTCAACTGTAAGCGATTCACACTGTAAATCTATTAATGTGATAAGTGTCTTTAAATTTTGTAAATTTGTAGGAAACAAATTTGCAATTTGTACTATACTCTTTATAGCAGCTTTGTATATTCCAGGAGAGTTATTTGTACAATAAGTAATTAATTCTTCAGATATGTCAGATATGTTGGTTGAAGTTGTCAGAAGTGGTAAAATGCAGAGTTTTTTTACTTTCACAATCATAGAATCAGAAAAATGACAAAAAAACAATTTATAATTTGAGCAAAATAACTCTTTGCTATAAACAATATATTGTTCTACAAGAATTAGAGTTGAATAAACTAATTCATTATTAGATGATACCAAATTGGATTGGATTTTAGGAAACACACAATTCAAGGCTTCTTTCAATAAATGAGGAAAATTATTATTACATAACGAAAGAAATATTTGAAGTGTTTGTATGACAATAAGTGAATTAGTATGTGTTAAATAATCATCTAAAGAATTCAAAATTTCAAATAGTTCTTCTTCTTTTTGAGGGACATATTTTTGTACGAAGTGAAGTACTGTTGATATACCCCATTCATGAAATGATAAAATTCTAGAAAGTAGATAGTGAACAATATTGTAGTTAATAACTACTCCTCCTTCAGAACTAAGAATTTCATCCAGAGATGTTAGACAATTAACTACAACTCCAGGATCAGGATCACGGATCATTTCATACAGATTATGAATAAGTTCTGAATTAAAATTTTCTGAAGAATTTTTAATATACTGACAACAAGACATAACTGCTACTCTTCTCACATATGAGCTGGAATCTTTTAGTGCTGATAGCAATAGTATTTCTTCTTGCTCTGTTAAGTTTGGAACTCTGAATAATGTCTTTAAAGCAACACCTCTAAATAATGGATTTGCATCTTTCAAATCTTTGATTAGAGTATTTGTCACTAACAAATTTAAACCATCGACTCTATCTGAATACCTGAAAAAAAATTTAACAAGTTAACATCTAGCCATCAAATTTAAACTATTCAAAAGTTTCCAATTTGATTAAATTTTAGTATCACATGAAATATTTTTATAATTAATTAATTAAATCAATTTTTACTTAATTACCAAAAAAATAAGTAGTAATTAAGTAGTTATTTTTATTTTATTTTCACAATAGTAGTGTTGTTATAATGGATAAATAAATTTTTTCTTCTCAATACATTAGAAACATTTTAAATGAAAAAATTTTAGTTAAAATAAGCAAAATATAAATGAGAATACTCAGAGATATAAACGATGTTGCAAGGTATAATAAAAGTAATAATTATTTTCTTATCTTGGATTTATGAATGATTATTTCTACTCTAAGAGCTGTAAATTTATAATATGAAAGTAAAAATTGTCTAAATGTAATTCTTAATTTTACTTCATTAAATTACTTTTTTTCAAATTATAAAGTTATATCAATATTCTTGATTCAATTTCTTGGACAAAATACATTGAAAACTCTTTAGAAATATTGCAGAGGTAAACATAAATTAACTAAAAACAGAATGGCATATATATCTATAAGATGACATCCTAAATCTAGCCTGTATTAAACAGGAACAATATTAAGTTTTTGAACCTACAATTCCAATACATTGTAAGTTTTTAAAAATTCTTTTGCAGTTTTGCATAAAATATAATGATAAAGAATAAATGAATATAAAAAAATGAATTTGACAGTAGTAGTATACAAATTAAGATATAGTTGGAATAATAATAATAATAACTCTCCCATGGTCATCACCTGGTTGTGGTGGGATAGCCCAGTAATTTTACTGAACCATAGAGCAATGCAGGTTGGAGCACAAGCTCCTGGCAGGGACACACATGCCAGTAAAGTCTATGGGGAGAAATGAAGCTAAGAGTGACCACACCCACATTCTGTGAAAATAATTATTATGGTAGTAACCAGATCAAAGTGCGATACCGGCTTGGACGTCGCCCAGGTTAACAAGGTCCGCGTTCGTGGGTTAGGCAGAGGCTCACGTTCAAAAAATAGGCTCCAGTCTCCCTTCGTTACCGGTGGCAAAAGCAGCGCCGGCCCAAGCATGGCTACTGCAATGCCCTCAACAGATGTGATAAATCAACCTAGCCTTCGTGTTTCTGTGGCAATGCATCCACAGATCACAAAGGCTGGAAAACCATGCCAACGGATGAAATGGACAACAGAAATGAATGAGTTTATCATCCGTACTTAACTACACCATCACAAAACTCGAAACAAACATGATAGCATACAGACAACAACTACACCATAGATTCACACAACAAATATCCTCACCTCACTNACACATACAACAACTACCATTAATGATACTACAGGCACTTCCTCATCCATCACTGAAAACATAGACATAGATTTAGTTAATACACTCTCACTTATATTTCAGGAAACACTCACTAAATATACAGGTTGTAACAGATCCCACACAAGGACCACGAATACCGAAAATCAACACGTCAAAGATAGTAGGAAAAACACAAAATTATGTAAACACTCACTTACTACCAAACTACATTCATTCAATTTCTACACTCTCAGACATTCATACATTAGTTTATGCTGGGGCAGTCACAGTAGTAACACACCATGGACTGAAAATACAATCGCAGACAAACACACACAAAACACAATTCTATCACAAGCCTGCCTGGCAGAGAAGAATAGAAACACAAATAAATGACATTAGACAGCAATTAGGCAAGCTGACACAACACTAAAAACAACATAACACCCAAATTAAAGAACCAACACAAAAACATTTTCAAGAAAATCAAAGCACACACAAAACATGAACATCACAACACACACATTACAGAATACATTGATACATTAAAACAAACACTCGCAGCCAAAGCACGTAAACTCAAACGATACAAAACATGTACACTACAAAAACAACAAAATAAATTATTCACAAACAATGAAAAACTTTTCTACAGACAAATCAGTACCAAAAAAACACTGATACACAGCACAGTGGCACACCAATAGAAGAAGAACTCACAACTTATTGGTCTTCTCTTTGGTCCAATGCTGTTACACACAATGCTGATGCAGGCAGAATCGAAGAGGAGAACAGAAACCTGCACAACATACCAACTATGCCCTGTGCTGAAATAAATGTACACGACATCCGCTATGCTGTTAACAGAACACATAACTGGATGACACCTGGTGTAGACAACATTCACAATTTCTGGTACAAAAAGTTTACATCACTGCACCAGGAACTAGCTAAACATCTAACACACATCATCATCAATCCTCAAGACATGCCAAAATTTCTTACTCAGGGCATCACCTACATCACCTACATGAAACCTAAAAACAACAACACTACAGACCCCACACAATACAGACCAATTACATGTCTTCCAACACTCTACAAATTATTGACATCCTGTATCACAAACAAAATATACAAACGTGTTGAAGAACACGACATTCTTACAGAACAACAAAAAGGTTGCCGTAGAAATCACAGGGGATGCAAAGAACAGTTACTCATAGATTCACTCATTCTACGGCAAGAACACAAACAACACAGAAACATACACATGGCATATATAGACTACAGAAAAGCATTTGACAGTGTTCCACACAGTTGGCTGCTACATATTCTACACGTCTACAAAATACATCCATCACTGATTGCATTCTTCCAAAACACTATGCAGCACTGGAGAACAACACTACATCTCAGGGTTAGTAACACTTCCATACAAACAAACGAAATATTCATTAGGCGAGGAATTTTTCAAGGAGATTCCTTGAGTCCTCTCTGGTTCTGCCTAGCCCTGAATCCATTATCCAACATGTTAAACAACACGCAATACGGCTACAATATCAGACACGAAAAAACAACACAGTTTACACTCTCACATCTCATGTACATGGACGACATAAAACTTTATGCATCCACACAAAAACAACTTCATCAACTCCTACAAATCACACATTCATACACTAAGGACATACAAATGGAGTTTGGCCTAGACAAATGCAAAAAACTTCACATAGAAAAAGGAATCCTGAAGAAAGAAGATTTTGCACTTGGAAATGGAGACGTTATTGAATCCATGGAAGAGGGCGAGTTCTACAAGTACTTAGGATTCCAACAGGCCAAACTAACAGAACATACACAAATAAAGCAACGATTAATTAAAGAATACCAAAGTAGGTTAAACGCTATACTTAGAACACAGTTAAATGCAAAACACACAGTTAAAGCAATAAACACATATGTCATCCCAGTACTCACATACTCTTTTGGAGTTATACATTGGACTCACACAGATCTCGAGCAACTCCAAAGGAAAACAAGAACAACACTTACTAAGCATAAACAACATCATCCTATATCTGCCATAGAAAGATTAACCCTTCCATGTAAAGATGGCAGACGTGGCCTGATTGATATACAGTAGTTAACCTTCACTACAAACAAATACAGTCACTGAGAGAGTTTTTCTACAAGAAACGAGAAACATCACTAAGAAACGAGAAAACATCATAAAGCAGTAACTCTAGCAGACTCAAATAACACACCATTAAACTTACACTCACATCATACAGACTTGACACAACACACAAAAAGCATAGACACCATCAAGCAATCGTGGGCTCGAAATGCACCCCATGGAAGGCATCCTTATGACCTGGCCCAGGATTTTGTTGACAAAACTGCTCAAACAGCTGGTTAGATCGGGGATGCCTCTTTGGGGAGACGGAAGGATTCATAATTGCCATACAGGATCAGGTCACAAATACTAAAAAGTACAGAAAACACATACTCAAAGATACAACACTCACAAATGACACATGCAGAAAATGTCACATCATGCCAGAAACTACACAACACATTACATCTGGATGCAAGCTCTTGGTACAGACAGATTATTTACACAGACATAATCAAGTAGCAAATATAATACATAAGAGCTTGCAAACAAACACAAATTATTAGATATCCACGAACCATACTACAAATACATTCCACAGACAGTATTGGAAAACAACATGCACAAAATGTACTACAACAGAGCCATAATCACAGATAAAACAATTTACCACAACAGACCAGACATCACACTCATTGACAAACACAATAAAATCATATACATGATAGACATAGCCATTCCAAACACTCACAATGTACAAAACACATGCACTGAAAAAATTAGCAAGTACACAGAACTCACCCAGGAAACGACATCTGTGGAGGATGGATAGGGTGCTTATTGTACCTGTCATTCTCTCCTGTACAGGTGTGATACCACACACACTACACAAAAGCCTGGGAACATTACAATTGAATAGAAATACATACATCACACTACAGAAGGCCACTATATTGAATACAGGTATAACTTGCCTTACGTTGGTAATTACTTAACGACTTAAGTCGAATTTACTTGTCTCCGAATCTACTTGCCACTAGGCTAAACCATAAATTACCAATTCCTGTTCTGTATTTTATTTATTAATGCATTTTTAATAATATATGGTTAATAAGGATCTATTTTAAGCTTACAAACAAATAAACTTTAGTTTTTAATATAGTACAGAAAAAAGTAATTTAAATTTACGAATGCATGTACTGTACTGTAAATACAGTAGGCCTATATACTTATAAATGTATATATTATAATATGATTTTATGTGCGTTAAACATTTTTCTAGTGATGTTACGACTTTAATATTTGTGGCGGACAGACGTAAAGTCGAATAAAATGACTTAAACTTGATTTTTATTTTTCCATATACTTTCTTGACAAACGACGTATAAGTGGGAACGACGTAACTCGAAATAACGTAAGTCGAGGTATACCTGTACATGCCATATTGTTAGGAAATTTCTTAATACAGACACTGACACACTTATTTAATTTTAGTTTTATTTTGGTTGCTATGCCTTGACTCTGGTCTGGCATAGTACCCAGCCACCGGTGTGAACCGAGTATAACCCACTAAATACAATAATAATAATAAAAATAGAAGTTTTTTATGTAGGAGAAATGAGTCAACAACTGAAAACCAGAGTAAAAGAACATGTGATGGATTTAAAGTTAAAAATGTGAATTTTTTTTACCATGGTTACAATATCAATAAGAATAAAATTGTGAAATAGAACAATAATAAAATTTTGTTATAGGAAAGAGATAATAAGAAAAGAAATATAAAAGAACATTTTCTTACAAAGAAACAATTTAAAAATAAAAATGTAAATTTGGTTAATTTAAACATGGGTTTAAATGTATCTCTGGAATGGTATTCAATGTTAGATGGAGGTCCTCATGCAAGGGAAATAAGGAACTTGTGCAAGCTTCTAGGCCAGGCTTGTAAGTTTACTGTATATCAGTGTTTCTCAACGGGGTGATATTGCCCCATGTAGGCATTTTTTCCATGTTAAGGGAGCAATCAGCAACAATTTATATTTTGGAAGGCGAAAAACAATTTTCTGGGCAATATAGTAAAACATTATATTAAGAATAATTAGATATTTTATTTGTTATATTGTACAATAATTAAACAAATAACATTATACTAGTCACTAGTCTATTCAATGCAGTATGAATTTGGCGTTAGCCTTGGCCCTCAGCACCAGAATTTTGAAGTGAAGGGAACGATACTACGTAATGGTTTTATTGAAGGGGGGCAACAATTCGTTAGAGGTTGAGAAACACTACTGTATATTGTCAGATCTTACACTTAAATTAATTTACTGCAATATTGTTTTTATTTTCGTATTTTTTTAGAAAAATTGTCTTATTAAGTGTGATACTGTACTGAATAGGACATTATGATTGAAACACAGATATAAAAGCAATAAAGATGATAATATAAGTAATGAATTTTTTTACATTTTATTTAAAAAATTGTTTACAACCTTGGATAGAGTCAGAAAGAAAAAAATAAATGACACTATATCTTAAAGTTATATATAGTGTAATAACTTTCTAATTGGAGGAAATAGTTAACTGTACATAGTTAAAAATCATAACATTGCAATTGTTACATTTAGGTTATTTTTCTGATCATATTTTAAATCTACAGCTTAAAAAAAGCAATATCATCATCCAAAAAGTTTCATAGATTTAGAATTATGCAAAAAAAAATTGATGAAATTACTTTAAATCAATACAGTAATCCTCTATTTATGCAAATTCACTTAATGTGGTTGAAACATTTAAAAATTTTAAATAATCAACTAGACACCAGATGTCATTACAATACATAAATTTTAAATTTTTAAGGATTAAATGTATTAAAATAACTTAAATTTACATATGTTGTATATATACTAATACACACATATTGTGTACATGTTGTAATAATACAAATTCAGGAGTTTTTCAATTTAATTTTATTCCATTATCTTATCTATAGTTGTGTAGCAAAGCTGCCAGACTGGGCAAAATATCATTAAATAAGAGTAAAAATATTTGATAATACAGAACAGATCACTATTTTAAGCAGTTTTCCAGGGGTACATTTATAGTTTTCATCCAATCAATTACTCACATAAACAGAGTGAATACTATATTTAATTTTTAGATATTTAAAAAGTAGAAATTTTAAAAGATCTAATTCATTATTTTTTTGTTGTTGCTGAATTATAATATATATATGTTAAAAAAAATAATTAATTTCAACATTAAGTTAAATACTGGATCAAATATCTGGAAGCCAGATATTTGATCCAGTATTTGATCAAATATCTGGTCAAATATCTGATCAAAAATTTGATCAGTATCCAGATATTTGATCCAGTATTTACCAATAAATACCAGAAAACCAATTAATTTTCAAACTCTTTGCTACAATATAACTAGTTGTAGTACATCTAAAACCACTGTGTGTTGGTTTCTGTGGTGTAAGTATCACAACACCAGTCCAGTGTAACTGCTAGCAGACAGTGTGTTAAAAACATCTTGGTTTTTACTTTAATTCATTCAATTATCACCCTACATATGATATTCTATATCTGAAGAGGATTAATACAGTAATGATCAAACAGACCTTGCTTCAGAAATGTATTATGTATCTATTAAATAAAATTTCATTGTTAACCTTCAATTGTTAATTTATTATAGTGCTTTCCCAGCTGATATACAATAGAACATTGTGATTGGCAAATTTTTATCCCGTGGATTTTTTGGATTTCTCAACATTTTGACCCTCCAAGACCCCAAAATGTAAAATAAACCCCTTTTAATACTTTTAAAGGTTTAAAGATTTACCTATCAATGAAAGTACACACTACTTTTTTGACAAATATATCAGAAGAAGCCAATAATTTGGTAATGTTTCCAGCAATGGGACTTAAATCCACATCCTTCGACATTAGTTGGAGAATCTAAAATAACAAAAACAGTTATAAAACACAATATATAAGTATGAAAAAAAGAAACACTCTTAGTACCTTTAATGCAGCTGTCCTGGTTGATATGCTTTCTGATACAGAACATCTTGTTATTAAGGAAGACAACTCTTTTAATTCTCGATTCATTTTTAATTTCATAAATAATCAAGCTATGCATAGAAAATTTTTACATTACATTATATGTAAGAGAAGCAACACAAAATCCTCAACACTCCCTCCATCTTTACGACTATCTACGCCCCCTGCTGGTAAAAATATCAAGAAACAATTTTTTATTTTTTAAACTAATTTCATTTTTATATACTTCCTTATCAGTTTTAAAACTAAGTCTTTAAATTATTATTTTCAATTTTAAGTGTTTTATTTATTGACGTGACACTAGCAAAACTTTGATTATGTAATAACGTCGGCGGGGGGGTCCGTACTGATATGTCGTGCTCCGTCCTTCACTCCATTGTGGGCCTGGCCAAACCCATAATGGGCTTGTTAAAAGAGGCCCTCTTAGTGTCCACAGGGCAGAGATTTTTTTTTAAAAAAAAAAAGCAAGCTCACCTGTAGTCAAACGAATAAAACCGCTAAACAGTGTTAGGTCATGGGTTCACGCTTGATATTTGGTGTTGCCTTATCCATGAAATCGAACTAAAGGTTTTTCTTAATAAAATATCTGGCATGCATAATATGGAAATACGATTTGCAAATATAGATGAATATAAAAAGGACTTGATATAATTTAAAAATGGTCCGACAAATAAGGCTGGGAACCCTTTAATACGTAGTAATACTATTTCGTATATTCATAATACAGGTAACCCCCGTCTAACACGGCACTTCTATAACACGGATTCGCTCTAACACGGTTCGAGAATTGGTACCATCCCCCGTATAATACGGTACGTTTATAGCACGGATTCACTCTGACACGGTTCGAGAAATGGGTAAAACCCTCGTACAACATGAAATGTAATAAATTAATAGTTCACGAAAATTATTATTTTCGTGAACTATTAGTACTTCAGTGTGTAAATTTTCTTTTCTTGTCTCCATACACATGGTTTTTCGCGAAAATTGTTTCAATTTTGCCAGATCTCGACGCTTCTGCTTCTGGTGTTGCCAATGTTTTTCCCTTATTCCATAAGTGCTTAGCACCATATAAAGAAAATTATAAAGATCTTTTAACTAGAAGCAAGCAACTTAAAATTACATACACTTTCTGCAAAAGGTAAAGCATGAATCTGAAAATAATGCAGAAAAATACTGGGAGGATAACGATAACTTGCCAAAAATAAAACGCTCTCGGTTAATAGTGCTTTTAGTGATGACAAAGAAAACATTGTTTATATTAATATGTTGGAACGTAACTACCGTGTTATACGGGGGTTCCTGTATTCAATAATCATCAATTTATTGTTCATCATAATTATTTTCCCATAGAACACAACAAAAAATAGTAACTTATATTAATATACATTTTTTAAAATTAATTTTAAAATATTTTCTATTACATACTATAAATTGTTTCGTTTCACCGATATTTAAAGCTATTATTTATCGAATTTACTTTCCTGGCTGTTATAAATTATAGTATATATCACAGGGAAAGTGTGACGATCGGTTAAAAATGACCCTTGATTTTTGGACTAGGGACCTTGATACGTAGAGAAATGCAAACATTTGTTCTTTCTGTACGGGGAGGGTACGATTTTGTTCACCCACTTTGAAACTTACTCCAGCATTTTGTCGAAAATTTCTGGAATACAGGGGCAGTGATGCTATGAAAGTCACGAAGTGGAGAGTTTTGTTTACTTGTTTTGTTACACTGCGGCAATGCAACACTTGTGCAATCTGCCTAGGAAGGTTGCCTTTTTAAGGGTAACTGGCCCCTATTCAGGCGTTACAGACGTGGAGAAAACTCTATGTGGCCAGCCCCTCTTGGCAAGAGATAGTATGTCATATCTTGAGTGGTATCAGACTTAATGATGTTTTTGGTATTAGCATTTACATTTTTTTTATATGAAACTCATCTCTACCCTCAAAATTAAGCTTTTTTTTTGTTTTTGTTTTGTAATATAATAATATAAAACATTTTAAAAATAAAATCTCATAACAGATGGAGTTTCACACAATTTTTAACTCTTGCAGGGAAAGTACGCAACTCGCAGTTGGATTTTCTTGCTTACAGAAATGGATTATTATTTAATTTATAAAGGAAAAATTAATAATTAATAAGCTCTTTAGAATTAAATCTCTATTTTCCATATTAAAATTTATATAAAAACCTTATACATATATCACTATTGTACAGTACATAAAACATGCATGTTTTATTTAAAAAAACAAGTTGAAAAATATTGATATAATAGTAAAATATTTAATTTTGCATCATATTTATTTTATTGTACATAAAATATTTCATTATAATCTTGCACTTTGTAAATTTATATTTAACATTCTTATTTATAGAAGAAAATATTAAAGTAGAAAGATAACTTCACATTATATTTATGTATAATTTATTCTTAACAAGTTTATCACATTCAATTAATTAAAGGCAATTTAAAATGGTGTAATCAATCTATTTATACAACAATATAGCATTCTGTGTTGTCATTACAAGACAAGATTCTGATTTTTGGGGTGATAACTGCCAAGAAGCGGAATACCATGCCATAGGTTGATCACTGACCGACAAAACTGGGTAATCTGGTCTTATCGAATGTAATAATTTCCCTTCGTTTAGAGACCACAATCTTGTATTTCTGTCCTGACCCACTGAACACAAGACATTAGCTTCTTCGTCAATACTGAATGGTAATTTCAAATAATCATTCACATGTTCTGGATATTCTAGAACTGGCTTCCAAGTTCTTAAATCAACCTATATTAAAATAACATTTATTAAATTATATTTTGTTAATTTATTATCTACATCTATAGCATATAGTCATCTTTAATTACAGCAGTCTTTTATTTATTTATTACCATATAATAGTAATAAATAAATAAATTTTGGAATTTATGTTTTTTTATAGATTTTTTTAATGTCTTCTATATAAAGATCTGAATAAACTTCACATAATACTAACACAATAAGTTTCAAATTTTTCAATATTACAGTATTAATAAATAAAGCAAGAATCTAAATTTTTAAAAATTAGAGTTACCTTCTCAATAATGGAATGAATCACAACCACACTTTAAACAATTTTAATTTACATTTCTGGAATTCATACAAAATCTTAATATTATCAATATCAAAAGATCAACATTAGCAATCCAGATAAAATACTTTTGTTTTTAAATACAAGAGAGTAAGCATCCTGTAAAAAATGCAAATACACGGTTCACGAAAATTATTTGCAAAAACACAAAAAATCATTCGCTCGTACATATAGAACAACCTAGGAATGTGCTAAATGAATAAAAACCTCATCTTATATGCGAGTAAATATGGTATTTACTTACTTACAGACACTACAGTTTTCTGTACAGTTTTCTTTACACTACAGATACTATAGTTTTTCATTTGACAATTCATTTAGTACAATAAATGGAATAATTAAGCTTGGGCTTAAGTTTCATTAAAATCTCTTACACAAGGAATGATACATCAAGCAGTTTTATAGCTTAAATCTGCTTTTTGGTTATAAATAATGCTTTTGGCAGGTACTTTGAANTTCTTACTTGAATAGATAAAAACGAAATTAGAAAAAGTCACTTACCCCAAGGGTCGACAATTGCCAGAATCAAGAAAAACATTGCATTCGAAGTACTTTGCAAGAATCGCACTCTTCGCAACAAAAAGAGCACAACAATGAAATTGCAATTGTCGACTTTCTTTGTTACGTGTTAATTGGAAAAAATAAGGTTATTTATTTCTTTTTCCAATTCGATCAGCTGACGTGTGTGTACAACGATTATTAAACGAGCCCCTGTTAGTCTGCAAATAAGGAGTTGAACCTGGGAGAGTGCAGGTCACGTGATTTGCTCGTGCCATAAGTAAAAATGCCGAATTTGCTGTACGACGCCATACTTGAACGGGTCAGTCGTTTCGATCACTTCGGAAAGGCGAATGACGCTTAAATTAAGCGTGTAAGAAAGGTAGCGAGGGCCAGTGGCGCAACGGATAACGCGTCTGAGTACGGATCAGAAGATTCCGAGTACAAATCCTGGCTGGCTCGTCTCTTCTGTAGTATTTTCTTATCTCCCGGCGATTGTTTTGAATGTCGCATGAAGTTTTATTTTTATTTTTCGACGACGGGGAATTAACACTAGGTTCTGGAAAAATCGAACATGCTTTTTGGAAATGTCGTCTTTCACTAAAGAATAAGAAAACGCCGTTCGAAACGGGTAGTACGATGCCACTTCCGGTGTAACTGGTAATTCCGAAGGATTTCGAACCACGCACTGTTTTTCTGCTCGGAAGCAAAGCAATTGCAATGAAACCGGTAGGTAATGCGGTAAGCCGAATCGTTTAACACACGAAAATGTACGTTATCCTGCGCGAGACAGCCAGTNGTGCTACAGGGCCAAACATTTGGCACTCGCTAAAAGTCGCGACGTAATGAGATTACATGAAATGGCAGCTGCACACGATATTTAGATTTTTAGAAAATCATAAAAATATGACGCATGGGGGCTGCGCGGCCCCCAAGAAACCAGTTAAGGGTTAACATTCTTATTTATAGAAGAAAATATTAAAGTAGAAAGATAACTTCACATTATATTTATGTATAATTTATTCTTAACAAGTTTATCACATTCAATTAATTAAAGGCAATTTAAAATGGTGTAATCAATCTATTTATACAACAATATAGCATTCTGTGTTGTCATTACAAGACAAGATTCTGATTTTTGGGGTGATAACTGCCAAGAAGCGGAATACCATGCCATAGGTTGATCACTGACCGACAAAACTGGGTAATCTGGTCTTATCGAATGTAATAATTTCCCTTCGTTTAGAGACCACAATCTTGTATTTCTGTCCTGACCCACTGAACACAAGACATTAGCTTCTTCGTCAATACTGAATGGTAATTTCAAATAATCATTCACATGTTCTGGATATTCTAGAACTGGCTTCCAAGTTCTTAAATCAACCTATATTAAAATAACATTTATTAAATTATATTTTGTTAATTTATTATCTACATCTATAGCATATAGTCATCTTTAATTACAGCAGTCTTTTATTTATTTATTACCATATAATAGTAATAAATAAATAAATTTTGGAATTTATGTTTTTTTATAGATTTTTTTAATGTCTTCTATATAAAGATCTGAATAAACTTCACATAATACTAACACAATAAGTTTCAAATTTTTCAATATTACAGTATTAATAAATAAAGCAAGAATCTAAATTTTTAAAAATTAGAGTTACCTTCTTCTCAATAATGGAATGAATCACAACCACACTTTAAACAATTTTAATTTACATTTCTGGAATTCATACAAAATCTTAATATTATCAATATCAAAAGATCAACATTAGCAATCCAGATAAAATACTTTTGTTTTTAAATACAAGAGAGTAAGCATCCTGTAAAAAATGCAAATACACGGTTCACGAAAATTATTTGCAAAAACACAAAAAATCATTCGCTCGTACATATAGAACAACCTAGGAATGTGCTAAATGAATAAAAACCTCATCTTATATGCGAGTAAATATGGTATTTACTTACTTACAGACACTACAGTTTTCTGTACAGTTTTCTTTACACTACAGATACTATAGTTTTTCATTTGACAATTCATTTAGTACAATAAATGGAATAATTAAGCTTGGGCTTAAGTTTCATTAAAATCTCTTACACAAGGAATGATACATCAAGCAGTTTTATAGCTTAAATCTGCTTTTTGGTTATAAATAATGCTTTTGGCAGGTACTTTGAAGTAGTTATACAGTGTTAATTCTCGCTACAAGTCTGCTGACAAGTTTCTCCATATCACTTTTGCGTTTGGCACTTGTATCCAGCACCTCTTCGTGACTTGCCGTCTGAGTGGAGTCATATTCGTTGATGCACATGTTTGTTATCAGCGACATGCCAAACACTCTGAGGCCGCAGTGACGGGCGGCAATCACTTCGTGTGCAGTGCTCATACAGTTACAGACTTACTAGACAGCGGACATATAGGCCCTTAAAAAAGTGGCATTTTAGGTGCTTAAAATAAGCTCTTAAATTGTGTCATTTAGGCTTTATAAACAAAAAATAGGCGGTCAAAATTTGCACAATGAACAATTACCTACTTATCAAGACGATGAATTTTTTAACATATGTATTCCAAACAAAAATGCACGTATTCAGAATTATGCAAACACAAAAGTAGAAAAACAATTATCTTTTCATTTTTTATTCGCTCTGTTTCCCATAGTTAGCTTCGTAATATATTACAAGCACTTTTTCCAAATTTTCAATAGGAAAGTTGCAACGTTTATCACTGAAAATTAATTTATACGCAGAGAAAGAGCATATAATCCTTATTTCAACCTTGGAAGAAGATGAACTGGGAATTCACTTTCAGTTTTGCTCTTCTTTCATGCCAAAATATCATCCACAATAAACAAGAACTTTAATCCAAGTCTCTTTGGAAGCATGGCTTTCAACTCTTTTTTCACTTTTTTTGCAGCAGTGCATCACAAAGTTTCTGCTTTGCTCTGTTCAGCGAGATCAATTTGTTTATATATAGGTTTCCCGCTACTTTCAAGAGCAGTAATAGTATCTGCAATGAATGTGAAATAACACTTGATGTACAGTACTGTACACGAACTTGTTCTGAACATAAATGTCATTCAAAATTTTCTTGGCTTTAGTTACACAAACTGCAATGTCTGCTAAAGCGGCAGAAGTTTTTGATATCGAAGAAATTTTCACTGTAGTAGTTAGTGCAAAATCTTAGCCATGTATATGCTAAGGGAAAAATAGGCATTTGCCTAAAATCTGCTGTCTAAAAATGACAAATAAAGCAACTCTAATGCTGTGTTTATTAAATAAAAGTTTAATTTTATTACTATAAAATTGCATCGGGGGTGTAATTTATTTCTGTTATTATTGCATTCTAATTTTTTTCTGCTTGGGATATGCATCCACTGGGACTTAAATATAAGTAATCAATAATAATAAAAAATGAATCTGTCTTTTATTTTCAGGAAAAAAATAAAACTTAAGCAGTTTAATTTAAGAATTAAAGTAAACCTTTGAAGAAAATGAAACAAAATATTAATAAAAACTTTTTAAAAATATGAAAACAGACTAAACTTTGTGTTTTAGGCAAAAATAGGCAGCAATGTCAAAATAAGCATTTCTAGGCATAATAAAATACCATTGTTTCGGTCTAAATGTTCTTGAAAATTGTTCATACAAAACCTTAGCCATGTATATGCCAAGAACAAAATAGTCATTTGCTTAAAATCCACTGTCTACTTATTACATATTTTATTTTAAAATTTATTATTAGTACGTTTAATCTGGGCAACTGCTTAATTGGGCCAAAATGAATTAGTCCCAATTAAATGGAATTAACTGAATATAAATAAATATATATGAATAAATAACATAAATGTAACTTCTATTAAATGACAATTCAATGATATTTGATATAGATTTTACTCACCTGCAGTAATTTTCCTTCAAATCCACTAGTTATAATAAAATTTTCATTTTTTAAGAGTTTAATGTAGGAAATACCTTTTCCAAGCTTTTCACTGGATATAAATTTAGCACTTCTTAAGTCAAAACAACTCAAATTTCCAATATTGCTACCTACAAATAACTGATTACCAAACAAGTTATATGTTAAAGAAAAGCAATTTTCTTTAAAAGGTATATTGCAAACTCCCCCATTCAAATTTATTGCTCGTATTAAATGTTCACCTCCAATTGCAAAAGTTTGCGTGTGTTTATTCCAGGTGCAACTCCAAAGAAGTGGTTTCTCTTCTCTATGTTGCTCGTGTTCGTAAACGCCACACATTTGAGGATAAGAATTCAAATGCGTCAAAGCATGTACGGTTACAGAAGAACAATGCCGCGGATGCGGAGACACATCTACAGAAGTAAAAAGGACATACTTTTTATCCTCTGCCACATCCAAAATGCATAAATCTGTGACTTTCTCGCAGAAGTTTATACCGCACGTATTTTGAAACTCCACATGCATGTCATTGCAATCCTCATTCTTACTTTCTAGTGAAAAGCTCCGGACAAGTACTCCTCCTGTCTGAAGTGTACAAGCTGCAACGAAAGTTGAACTTTCCGGACATCCTATTAAATATTTACATTCAAAAACAGGATATTCGGTATCACTTTCATTAAGTTCTATATTGTAAAAGCTTCTCATTCTTGAAATCTTTAAACGAAGAAAGCGATTAACGAATGAAGTCGAACTATCCAAACTTAATTGACGACGATTCAACAGATTCAGGTAATTACCGTCAACTTTCAAAACTTTAACTGGTTTCTCTACGTCTAACTTTAATTTCAACTGATCTTGACTGCTGGGGTGTGTCGGAATATTAAAATAACGCTTTTTTATCGGATCGAAGTAAAATCCAGGAATTTCTAGCGATTTCTCATCAGCGTTATGCGACTGATAACGATTATATTGATTTCGATAATTGCTATGGTGACGACGTTGTCTACGTTTGTATGGCATATTAAGTAACTAATATATCACATTATAAAATATTTCCGGCTTTTATAACCTAATTCTTCCTGTTTTACATGACATGTACTGTATTTTAATATAACATACCTAAACTTCCTTCTCATGCTCCTGCCCACGTGTTTTTAGAATTAGTGTTGCCATCTTATGTTGTTAACAGTTATTTTTTTTTAAATATTTTTACTAAAATACTTTAAATACGAAATTTATTTATATTTTTACATAAAAATCAATAATAAGACAAAATATAAAATACAACATTAAATCAAATTTTTCATCTAAACTAACCTAATTCGAATTTTGAATTTAACATTCTAATTACATGTTTTCGAAAACTGAAAAACTTTAATTCATAAAAATATATTCTAAAGATTTCCTTATTTATTGTTTTAAAGTGGATAGTTTAATGAAATGAATGAGATTGAGAAAGACGTATGCTTACTTGTTTGGAACGAAGAAGTCGGTCAACACGAGGTTAGTATAATTATAATTGCATCTTTTTGATTAAATTTTATTATCCCACGCCCTCATTGCCTATTCTTTCTTTTTCAGATCTTTGGAAACGTAAAATTAAAATTTTGGTCTTCTGGAAAAATTAATTTTCAAATATCGGGACAAGGGAATTCGGTGTCCGGTAGCGTTTGTAAAATGTGGGCAGATTCAGAAACCAAAAATATTCATTGGACCACAGATGATGCGGAATATGTTTTATTACACCACAAAAAGCCCGAAGTTGGAAAAATGGAGTCACTTTCCATGACAATAGAGGTAATCGTCGAGTTTTTCTTAAACTCCTGCCGAGATTTCGACTATAATTACTGTATTATAAACGAAGCAATGATATCAAATTTGAGTCGTTTTTATTCAGTTCAAAATGTTTATTTTCAGAAACCTGCAGAAGAAAATAAATTTGGCGTTTTACAATTTCATTTATCTAATAAATCTGGTAAGTAGAACTTTTAACGGCATAATTTTGTGGTTATTAACAATCTCGTCATCTACAGGCAATACCTGGGAGAACAACAATGTTATTTACAACATGAAAAAACGTAACGAAAAAATGTCAAAATTCTCTGAAAAACAAAAAGAAATCGTTGAATATAAGCAGTTATGCGAAGCTAATCAAAATTCCGAAGAGTTCGAGAATGAAATTTGCTCAAAACCTAAATCAAAATGGACTCTACCGTATTATAAGTCAGATAAAGTCAATACAGTCGATGAAAATCAAGTCAAGTGCGAAGGAAGTTTACTCGAATGTAAAAAGAAATCGTTTCGTCTGTATTATAAATTAAACGATAATTCTAACTTCATAAAAAGAAAGAAAATTATTTTTCGAAAGAAATTTTTAACGTTGGTACTTGAAAAATTAAGAAGAGTGCATACATCGACAGAATTTAAGATAAAAGGAAAACAACTCGATAATATCTGTGAGAATAAAGAAAACAATGAAATAGAAAAGAAAGCTATCGCAAGATTAAATAGTTCACATCAACGATTAATAAATAATCTAAGAAACAAACGAATTATACTAAATTGTGTATTATTATTGACATCATTTCTTTCCTTACCATTCATCTTCATGATTTTTCATTGTTGTGATCCGGAGTTTGATGGCGAGAGAGACAATGAAATTATATAATAAAAGCGTACCTTTTATTAACTTTATAATTTGATATATTTCGAACGAATATAATATATTTATTTTTAATGTTTTAAGGCCAAATCTACGTAGTCACGCGCGAGTTGAAAAATATCGAACGAAAAATCGAATAACAGGTGAATAAAATTAGTTCAAAAAATTTTGTCTTTCATAGGTATGCGATGGAATGATTTTCTTTTTTCGAATAAAAAGTAAATATTGAAACATTTGTCGCCTATCCTTCGGTTTGTGATCGCTATTCTACAAGTAAATAAAAAAAGCAGCGATTACAGTGGTCGATGTTTCCTCCAGTTACTAATTTTAATTAATGTTCTAAAAGTTATATACACGGTTATCTAAATTATTGCTTCACTACTGAAAAATGCCCACTATTATGCCGTACATTAAAAGCCAGCTAACCGAATAAGTTACAGCGTGATCCCACTGATTAATAAATTAACCGGTTCCGGATTCCAAGCCAGCAGCTATACTTCTGGTGCGAAATCCGCCCAAAAATTTTTCATGGGTTCTCGGTCCCGGATAAATCAATTTCAGTTTTTCAGGACTGGTTAATCCCAATGTAAACCTGAAAGAACCGATGACGGATACGATTAAAATATGCTTAACCTGTCAAAATTAAGTTCAAACCTATCGCGAAAACTCTTTCTCCGTCGTTATCACAAAGATTTATAAATACAAAGCAATGCGAAAGTCGAAATATTTACATTTAACGAAATTTTGCGAACGAATTTCTTACTTGGATAGATAAAAACGAAATTAGAAAAAGTCACTTACCCCAAGGGTCGACAATTGCCAGAATCAAGAAAAACATTGCATTCGAAGTACTTTGCAAGAATCGCACTCTTCGCAACAAAAAGAGCACAACAATGAAATTGCAATTGTCGACTTTCTTTGTTACGTGTTAATTGGAAAAAATAAGGTTATTTATTTTTTTTTCAATCGATCAGCTGACGTGTGTGTACAACGATCATTAAACGAACCTGTTAGTCTGCAAATAAGGAGTTGAACCCGGGAGATGCAGGTCACGTCATTTTTTCTCGTGCCATAAGTAAAAATGCCGAATTTGCTGTACGACGAAACAGACACACGCCATACTTGAATGGGTCAGTCGTTTCGATCACTTCGGAAAGGCGAATGTTGCTTAAATTACGCGTGTAACAAAGATAGCGAGGGCCAGTGGCGCAACGGATAACGCGTCTGAGTACGGATCAGAAGATTCCAGGTTCGAATCCTGGCTGGCTCGTCTCTTCTGTAGTATTTTCTTATCTTCCGGCGATTGTTTTGAATGTCGCATGGATTTTTTTATATTTCGGCGACAGGGGAAATTAACACGAGGCTCTGGGAAAATCGAACATGCTTTCCGGAAATGTCGTCTTTCACTAAAGAATAAGAAAACGTCGTTCGAAACGGGTAGTACGATGCCACTTCCTGTGTAACTGGAAATTCCGAATGATTTGGAACCACGCACTGTTTTTCTGTTCGGAAGCAAAGCAATTGCAATGAAACCGGTAGGTAATGCGGTAAGCCGAATCGTTTAACACACGAAAATGTACGTAATCCTGCGCGAGAGAGCCAGTCCGACTAATCAAGTTTCGCGCTTGCAGAGCGTTGTGTGTCGCGCTCACGAAACTACAATGCGACGCTTCGGCATTCTACAACGAGTGGCAGTTGTTCAAAATGAAACCGCGCCTGGTCGAGACAATTGCAAGAAAAAATAAGAGAACAGAACGCTCATTTCGGCGTTAGATAAAACGGAGCAAAACAGAAGTGGCAACAGCACCCGGTGTTCCCAAGTCGTCTCCGTCCGAAGTACTATCCGGGCCCGACGCCGCTTCACTTCGGTGATCGGACGAGAACCGGTACTTTCAGCGTGGTATGGCCGTTGCCTGTTACCGACTGTCTTATCGCGCCTATTCGTGCGTTTCATTCCAATTGGCCATTCGATACTTTGCAAGCGTCAAGTGGATTATAATCATAGAGCTCTATCCACTGGCCCGTTGAGAGCAACGACGGTAACGTCGTATTATATGCCTTTTCACACAACTCCAAACTTCTCCTGTAAATCCCACTTTACTGCACATCGCTCTTCACTTTCGCCGATGACTACCCGATTTAAATTGCCTCTTCCAGTCATATCTGACCTCATAATTGCGTAGTACAGCGTGGTACTCGCATTAGCAAGTCGATGGTAATTTACCGAAATTAACAATTCACAATGCGAATAAAAATGGCGAAATGAACCGGCGAGTCGGTTATTAGATATAACTTAGATATAACTTACAATTGTAATAATAATTTATAATTACTGTAATGTTTGCCATAGACTGTGTCTTTTTCATAAGACCAGTAATGACGAAATGCATTCCGGAAAGAGTTAATTGAATACTATATGAGTATAGTAAGCTTGGTTCATTAGTTGTAATTAAGTAACTTATGCTTTTTTAACATAGTAATACAGCCAAAAAGCTTTTCAATATGATTTGCAATTTTTTAAAAACCGGGTTCGTCCCGCCTTTCTTCTTGCTACGAAATTGAAAACGACAAAAATCGTTTGGATTGACGATCCGCGAACATCTATCCAATCTCGTTTCGAATATGGAAAAAGAAAATTCGTCAAACAATAAATATATCCGATCCGAGACATTTCTTCTAATTTTCGACTCGAATATACAAAAATTAGCCAATCAATATTCTTGTAAACCTTTAGAGAAATTATTATACACTAGAGAAACTTTTCGTTTAATCACTGGCAGAATTTGCTATCAAACTATAACCTAATAAATAAATAAAATTGTCTCTTAGGGCCTTTTAGGAACTTCGATATTTATTCGAGATAAGAAAAAAGATTTTTACAAAGCATAGCTTAAGGTCTGGATAAGGCTAAATCCACTCCTGTTATTTTAAACTCAGTAATATCGGCATTCAAGAACCTATCATTCATCATTATGAAATCAAATTCGTATAAATTGATGAAAATTTTAATAAACTTGTTGATATGAACCGGAAGTACAAATGAATAGGCCTTACATTTTAACCTGTCAAAATTAAGTTCAAACCTATCGCGTAAACTCTTTCTCTGTCGTTATCACAAAGATGTATAAATTCAAAGCAATACGAAAGTCGAAATATTTAATTTAACGAAATTTTGGACGGACAACTGTCGACTTATTAATTTCGCGAACGAATTTCTTACTCGGATAAATAAAAACGAAATTAGAAAAAGTCTCTTACCCCAAGGGTCGACAATTGCCAGGATCAAGAAAAACATTGCATTCGAAGTACTTTGCAAGAATCGCACTCTTCGCAACAAAAAGAGCACAACAATGAAATCGCAATTGTCGACTTTTTTGTTACGTGTTAATTGGAAAAAATAAGGTCATTTCTTATTTATTTATTTCTTTTTCCAATTCGATCAGCTGACGTGTGTGTACAACGATCATTAAACGAACCTGTTAGTCTGCAAATAAGGAGTTGAACCCGGGAGATGCAGGTCACGTCATTTTTTCTCGTGCCATAAGTAAAAATGCCGAATTTGCTGTACGACGAAACAGACACACGCCATACTTGAATGGGTCAGTCGTTTCGATCACTTCGGAAAGGCGAATGTTGCTTAAATTACGCGTGTAACAAAGATAGCGAGGGCCAGTGGCGCAACGGATAACGCGTCTGAGTACGGATCAGAAGATTCCAGGTTCGAATCCTGGCTGGCTCGTCTCTTCTGTAGTATTTTCTTATCTTCCGGCGATTGTTTTGAATGTCGCATGGATTTTTTTATATTTCGGCGACAGGGGAAATTAACACGAGGCTCTGGGAAAATCGAACATGCTTTCCGGAAATGTCGTCTTTCACTAAAGAATAAGAAAACGTCGTTCGAAACGGGTAGTACGATGCCACTTCCTGTGTAACTGGAAATTCCGAATGATTTGGAACCACGCACTGTTTTTCTGTTCGGAAGCAAAGCAATTGCAATGAAACCGGTAGGTAATGCGGTAAGCCGAATCGTTTAACACACGAAAATGTACGTAATCCTGCGCGAGAGAGCCAGTCCGACTAATCAAGTTTCGCGCTTGCAGAGCGTTGTGTGTCGCGCTCACGAAACTACAATGCGACGCTTCGGCATTCTACAACGAGTGGCAGTTGTTCAAAATGAAACCGCGCCTGGTCGAGACAATTGCAAGAAAAAATAAGAGAACAGAACGCTCATTTCGGCGTTAGATAAAACGGAGCAAAACAGAAGTGGCAACAGCACCCGGTGTTCCCAAGTCGTCTCCGTCCGAAGTACTATCCGGGCCCGACGCCGCTTCACTTCGGTGATCGGACGAGAACCGGTACTTTCAGCGTGGTATGGCCGTTGCCTGTTACCGACTGTCTTATCGCGCCTATTCGTGCGTTTCATTCCAATTGGCCATTCGATACTTTGCAAGCGTCAAGTGGATTATAATCATAGAGCTCTATCCACTGGCCCGTTGAGAGCAACGACGGTAACGTCGTATTATATGCCTTTTCACACAACTCCAAACTTCTCCTGTAAATCCCACTTTACTGCACATCGCTCTTCACTTTCGCCGATGACTACCCGATTTAAATTGCCTCTTCCAGTCATATCTGACCTCATAATTGCGTAGTACAGCGTGGTACTCGCATTAGCAAGTCGATGGTAATTTACCGAAATTAACAATTCACAATGCGAATAAAAATGGCGAAATGAACCGGCGAGTCGGTTATTAGATATAACTTAGATATAACTTACAATTGTAATAATAATTTATAATTACTGTAATGTTTGCCATAGACTGTGTCTTTTTCATAAGACCAGTAATGACGAAATGCATTCCGGAAAGAGTTAATTGAATACTATATGAGTATAGTAAGCTTGGTTCATTAGTTGTAATTAAGTAACTTATGCTTTTTTAACATAGTAATACAGCCAAAAAGCTTTTCAATATGATTTGCAATTTTTTAAAAACCGGGTTCGTCCCGCCTTTCTTCTTGCTACGAAATTGAAAACGACAAAAATCGTTTGGATTGACGATCCGCGAACATCTATCCAATCTCGTTTCGAATATGGAAAAAGAAAATTCGTCAAACAATAAATATATCCGATCCGAGACATTTCTTCTAATTTTCGACTCGAATATACAAAAATTAGCCAATCAATATTCTTATAAATCTTTAGAGAAATTATTATACACTAGAGAAACTTTTCGTTTAATCACTGGCAGAATTTGCCATGAAACTATAACCTAATAAATAAAGAAAATTGTCTCTTTGGGCCTCGGGCTTCGATATTTATTCGAGACTAGTAAAAAGATTTTTACAAAGCATAGCTTAAGGTCTGGATAAGGCTCAATCCACTCCTGTTATTTTAAACTCAGTAATATTGGCATTCAAGAACCTATCATTCATCATTATGAAATCAAATTCGTATAGATTGATGAAAATTTTAATAAACTTGTTGATATGAACCGGAATTACGAATGAATAGGCCTTACATTTTAAAAGTAAGATTAGAGGGCATATAAAAATAATGGATACTTCGAAACAATGAATTTAAATGAGGGAATACATCATCTGTTTAGAATATATGATAATTGATAATAAAATAGATAAAAACTTCGTGCTCGAATAAAAATATAGGCCTACTGATTATGAAAATAAATCTCTCAAGAAGATAGACATTTGTGATTTTAAAAGTAAGGCCA